TCAACCCCCCCCCCTCACCCCAATTCTCTCTCTATCCCCCTTCCCTTTCTCCCTCCAGGTCAGATTGTGCACATTTCAACATAGAGAACCAGGACTTTGTGTCCATGGAGGAGCTGAAGGATGACCTGGCCCACTACGAGAACATGTGGTCACTCTATGAGGAGTTCAACACAGGGCTGCAGGAGCTGGCCAAGGAGGACTGGATCTCTTTCAGGTCAGAGGTTACGGAAATATCTACTGACATATGGCTCCTTACAGACATACAGTCGTACACAAAGACCGGTGTACAGGCTTATACAAACACACACATACACAAACATAGACACCCACATGTGCACATACACACAGATTTGCACACACACACACAGACATACACAAGCACAGATATACAGACATACATAAGCACAGATATACAGATTTACACACGTACAGACTTACACACCCAGAACCGTACTCAAACACAGACATATAGACATGTTAACACAGACATACACAGACTCTCAGACGGACATAAAAGCAGACACAGACAAACACAGATAATAGATTATGTCAACACCGATCAGGAAATGTATTACAGAATAACAGTCACAAACTGGGTAAGTCTGAAACTACTTCTTTTAAGGAAAACAGTGTATGAATTCACTGAAAATAGATATACACGTTTTAGTCCAACATATCATTTTTAATTTTCACTGTGTTGAGGAACTTGCACCATATTCAGACATAATACAAGTTGTTTCAAAGTGATCTTTTCAGACAAAAATGAAATTTGACTTAATTTTCAGACTGTTACAAGATTGTTATCATTGATATGTCATTGACAATCATATCAAACTAACAGCTGAATTATAATCAACACTTTTTGATTCTTTTGACATCCCTGTTCTCTATCCTTCTTTTTTCTACCTTGGCAAGTCCTTTGTTGATGCCTATTGTCATTATTTTTTTCTTCTTTTCTTTTTATATTTCTCTGTAGTAATACTTCTAAATCTTTTGCGTTAAACAGACTTAAAAATGTGTTGCAAGTGCCATAAAAGTCTTACGAAAACTAAACGTAAATAACAGAATTTTGTTTTCTTTTCATGAAGATACTAGTAATGTTTTTACACACACCCTACAAGTTCTGTAATAGTGTAATGTTTTCTGTTGTATCACAGGTCAAAGGCATACTTGTTTGAGGAATTTCTTGGAGGGTGGTATGAGAAGATCAAGACAAAGGAGACCACCACAATGACTGTCAAGATACAGAAAGACATTGAGACGTACAAGGTGAGGATGTCTCTGTGCTTCCTATAGAAAAGGTTTCTTCATCAGGAACAAAAATACATGAAGAAACTCTTTCGTATTCTAGACATTCAGATTGGAAGTTGCACCTGTGTCTCTGCCTCTCACTCCCCTTCCCCTCAGAATTTCCAAAACAGTTTGAAGCAGTGTAACAAATGGCTGGAACAGCCAGGAAAGAGACTTCTATGATTTTCTTTTGACAGATCAAGCAATAGGACAAGTTTTTGGTTATTTTATCCTCTTTTTATTTCATCATCATGTGTTTGTGTGCATATCATCCCATAGCTAAACTTCATTATCATATTCGTATTGCATTATCTGTGTGTGTTTTGTGTCTCCTTCGCCCCCCCCCC